CCTTTGGCTACTAACCGGGCCTTGTATTTATTGACTTCTCCATGCTCATTAAGCTTCGTCTTGTATATCCATTTAACACCAATGCACTTGGTGTTATTTGGTAGCACAACTAGATCCCACGTGTGGTTCCTCTCTATAGCTTCTATTTCGGCATCCATAGCAACTCTCCATTTTTTGTTTTTAACARCTTCTTCGTAGGTTACTGGATCATGGTGATTCATTTCCACCATATTCAACTCATCTTCTTCGAGGGGMTCGTTACYAGTGACGTAATCACTAAGATAACGTGAGGTTCTCCTTTGCCGACCCCCCCTCGCTCTTGTATTGTTGGTTCCTGCAGCCCTCGTTTCTTCATTCTCGCCATGGTTGTCTTCATCATGAACGTCTTCGTCGTCTACATAGTTTTCTTCCCGTTCACCATCACTYCATGTYAGCTCAGTTTCCATTTTTTCACCTTRATTGGTTCCCCAATCCCATAGCTTTTCTTCTTCAAAGATTACGTCTTTACTTGTAGTGATCTTCTTTGTTTGAGGATTGTAGAGTCTGTAGCCTTTTGATTCTTCACTTAAGCCTACCAATATGCAAGTGACACTTTTATCATCAAGCTTACCTCGTTTCTGATCAGATACGTGAACATGTGCAAGGCATCCCCATACTCTCAAATGCTCCATAGTAGGTTTGGTACCACACCATGTTTCTTGAGGTGTAACATCCTTCAGTGCTTTAGTAGGACATCTATTGAGAACATAAAAAATCCAGACCACAGCCTCCGTCCAGAAAACTCTCGGCATCTTTTTGGCAGCYAACATTGTTCTCACCATGTTCATCACCGTTCGGTTTTTCCGCTCTGCAACACCATTCTGCTGGGGCGTATATGCGGCAGTCAATTGCCTAATTATTCCATGCTCCGTACAAAATTTATTAAACAACTCCGATGTAAACTCTCCGCCTCTATATGTCCGTAAAGCCTTGATCATTTTACCTGTCTCGGTTTCAACCCGGTTTTTGAAATTCTTGAAGCATACGAACGCTTCTKATTTCTCACCAAGCAAATAAGACCAAGCCTTTCGACTATAATCATCTATAAAGCATAAGACGTACCTTTTTCCGCTATTTGAYGTTGGAGTGATCGGGCCACAAATATCAGAGTGTACTAACTCAAGAATCTCTTTTGCTCTCCACATGCTTTGCTTTGGAATGGCCTTCCTGTGTTGCTTACCGACAAGACAATCGGTGCATATGGTTTTGCTGACCTCAAACTCATGCATCCCTCGAACCATATTCTTCTTCTGTATCATCTCCATTCCTGTAGTACTTAGGTGCCCATAACGCTCATGCCATAGTTTGGAGAGATCTTCCGTGGTTGAATATAAACATCCTTCAGTCTTCTTTACGGTACCCGCTCTAGATTGATCGAATACGGGAAACATGCGATTTGTACTCATACTACTTTGAATGAGCAACCCCTTTTGGCGGTGATATATCTTGCATATATCGGACTGTATAAGGATTGACAGTCCCTTCTCYTGTAGTTGGCCCATGCTCAAGAGGTTATTCTTGAGTTCTGGCACRTAATAGACTTCACTTATCACATATGCACCACCATTCAACATTAGTTTTACCTGTCCYTTTTCACTAACCTCAATTCGTGTATTATTTCCCAACTTGACTGAGTGAGAAAAACTCACATCCAAGTTGGTAAATTTCTCCATGTCTYCGCACATATGGTTTGAGCAACCTGAATCCAAGAACCAAACATTGTTCTTCTTTGTTTCCTCGAGTTGTGCCATGAGCATCATCTCATCCTCCTTGTCGAACTCTGCGTAGTTTGCYTCCCTCCATGTTGGGCATTCATATTGGAAATGACCCAATTTGTGGCACTTGTAACACTCGGTGGTTGCTCGGTTATATGATTGTCTTCCTCGGCCCCGTCCTCTTCCTCTAAAGCTTGATCTTCCTCGACCTCGAACCCCCGTGCCTTCATCGAAGTGGACCTTTAGRACTTGCTCTTCTTCCTTGTCATGTTTTTTGAACTTCTGCTCATGAACTACCAGCGTGCTTTGTAGTTCGTCTATCGACATCTTCTCGATGTCTCTGGACTCTTCAATGGATACCACCACGAACATATACTTCTCTGTGAGTATCCGCAAAAAAATTTCAACTATCTTCACATCGGGCATCGTTTCTCCATTGCTCCKCATCTGATTCGAGATCGTCAAGACTCTAGCAAAATACTYYGTAATCGTCTCACTGGATTTCATTTCGAGGACCTCGAAATCTCTTCGTAATTTCTGCAGTAGYGACTTCTTAACTCGTTCATTCCCTTCGAACCTCTTCTTCATGGAATCCCACAYGGTTTTCGCTGTACGTCTATCAAGAATCTGTTCAAACGTTACCCTATCAATCGCTTGATAGAGGTAATGTTTCACTTGTTGATCCTTAACACGGGCCTCCTCCAGTCGCTTCTTCTGTCCGTCATTGAGAACAATACAAGGTGAGGGTTCTTCAAAACCGGGGTCGATCAGGTTCCATAGTCGCTTTGCTTTCAAAAGGTTCTCCATCATCTCACTCTAGTGCTCATAGTGTCCGTCAAAATGGGGCACCTTCAGCTTCTCCTCACTCATTTTCTATTCTTGGTTTTGATCGATCTCAGCTCTGATGCYAGATTGTTAGAAGAAAAAAAATAAAGAAACAGAAACCAAATTCGATGGTTCTTTATTGCTGCAAAGAGGGCCTTTAAATAGCCAAAGCTACAACTAAAACAAGCTAAAAACAGGAGAACAAAACAGAAAAAAAAAAAAAAAAAACTTCTAAACTCCTAAAGAATAGGATTATTCACAAAACAGAAAAGACCAAGTAAAAGGACTGCACGTGGACTTTTACTTTTTCAATATGTATCATGTTATGCAAAGAGTTTTTAGTCTTTGATTTTTGATTATCGTATCTTCTTCACCTTTTCATATTCAGGAACTCAGATTTGACCCTAAAGAAGCGGTCCATATTCTGGATGCTTTGCCAGTAGGTGTTGATGTTGGGGAGTATGTTTTCGCTTTTGAGGTACCTAGTATTGTGCAACCAAATGATCTATTTTAGCTTTCTCTTATAATTTTTACGAATTGCCTCCCACCCTCGATTATATTTTCTGCTCTGTAGATTGTGCTTTCAGACCCGGAACATAAAAAAATKTATGCAACTGGAGGACGAGCAAAAGTTCCAATCTATGTCACAGGAGTTGTCAAAGTTGATAATGCCAAAGTTGAAGTACTTGAGAGCGACAGCATAGAGACTCAAAAGAAGTATGATACTCAATTTCAAATCTGTGACTGTTCCTAAAAGTGAGCATTGCTTCTGTTTTCCGGATGTGTACCAAATGCACCCTATGWAAACCGGAAGAATAGGTTTTGTTGGGTTATGAACAAATCCCAATTTTTAGACTTCTAGCCTTGGTAATAGTAAACAAAGATAGAAGATGTGAGAATTGTGGGAAACTTTAAACGTAAATCTGGGCAATTGCTTTTAAGAAAWTTCATAGGCACACGGATTATCTGCTTAGAAAGTGTACTGATGATGATTTTCATCTGAATTAGTATAAAATTCTTGTTGATTATGAATTTTTAAATGTCAGCTGACGTTTGAATACACAATTCCAATATTTTGATTGATTAGGCTCGATTTACCCGGAAAGAATGACGTGGGTTTGTCAGCAAACCATCTCCAAAAACTGCGGTTGTCCTTTCAGTTGACGACTCCTCTTCAAAACGAGTTCAAACCTCACCAGGTCTCTGAACAGCTCGCATGCTACTCTTCTGTATCTTGGATCTCTTTGTTTTCGTGATTAAGTTATATTTTGTTCCGTCTATTTATAGGCATTGTTGACGTTGAGACATGAATCGGGAGTCGAACATATTTTTGTTATCGGGAACTCTGGCAAACAGTTTGAGATAACACTGGTCAGTTTTTTCACCATTTCAATATTTATGTTTCTCGTTCAATAATCTACAAGGCTGCATGTGAAACATCTTATATAGAAAATCAAACAACTCCATGCGATACTCCTTCCATAGAAGCTTAATGAGCTTAATGAGACTCACAACTAATTCRGTCATCTATACATGAGTATATGACTTAGAAAGTGGCTTATTCAATAAGCTTCTAAGGGGGAGCTTGATGCAGAAAGCCAGGTTTTWTCCTAACCTGCCCCACCCAATTAAACAACATTCTCCATCCATCTATGAAAAAACCCTCGTAAACAAAAACCTTCCCGCTCTATACAAACAGATTAATTCACATAGACAACTTTATCTRTACAAGACTTAATGGAAAACCAACCAAACACCCCCTAAGTGTTCATATTTCTATTTTAGTTTTTTCACTTTCAAAACAACTGCCTACTTTCCAACTCTGCCCTTAGTTATGAGATGGGGAAATTCATTACTCCCTCTGTTATTAAGGGTAAAATTGTCATTTAGTTAATTAAAAAGCWTAATAATTACATATGTCGAACTGTCTTTTTCCATTGTGGATGGTTATTTTGGGACGGAGTACATCTGACATAATTTTTATACCATGTACTACAATTCCGTGTTGCAGAATTTTCTTGGGCTTGTTGAGAAATTCTTTTATCTCTCTGGTAAATATGACATGGAGGTGACAGTGGGTGATGCCGCCATGGTAAATTCTTTGAGCAAGTTTTATTCTTTCTTTCCGCACACTTTGCACAGGCTGGTAGTCTTCACAGAAGCAGCCAGAGGTCAAGTCTGCCTACCCCCTCCTCCCCGCGGTTGGG